AGAATTATAGAAAAATAATAGGAGATTTTTTTTTTTAGTGCACGAGTTTATTCATTTCAACCTTTCAATAATTATGTAAGATACTTATGTGCAAGTGGTTTGTATCAGTATACCTTTATATATTCAATCATTTATGCATAAATTGCCGGTGGATCTTTGAGTTCTTTATAAAGAGATATGATATCTTTCGAAAAATTAAGATGACATAAGATTGATGTGTCACTTGGTAACCAATATACTTTATATGAGAAGAGTGACACAAAGTGTTTAAAATGATTATTATAATTGTATATTGAAACTGCACGTATATTACTGGGTGTTTTAAAATACTCACTCTTACAATAATTTTACATGTTAGTTCGAGTTTATTGAATTCCTAGCATGACGGTGATGCAAACTGTCAGTGGATTGAGGAAAAATAAACATTAAACCTTTGTTTGAGCCACATTACTTTCATAAGAATGTATTTTTGATTAGTTTATTGATGAAAAATGTGTGGTTAAAAAGTAAGGTAAATTTTTGAATTTGCATGTAATATTATTTTATTGAAAAATGTGTTGTTGAAATGATGTCAAATCACAACTTAAAAATACATCTTTTTCAATCAATGTGAATCGTATAGGGCCTAAGTTTTATCATCTTTCAATTTCTTAGTTAGTTTAATTTATTCTAAAACATGCTATTTAATTAGTTAGGTGTTTATCTTTTTTTAAGATATAATTTTCATATTTTAATTTTAATTTTAATTTATGGATATTGTAGCTATTTTTAATAAAGAAATTTATTCCATCATTCCGCATTAAATGTAAAGAAAAGTGAGCCTTTCTTTTGGTAACACTCCTAGATTTATGAAAATTTTGGGGTGTTATAATTATAGATGAATTTAATTCTATTCATTTAACTAGAAATTTTAATATGTTTTTAAATTCATGAATTAGCAATTAATTGTTAAGTACCAAATATAGTATAAAAATGTCGCTCATTTGTAGTATTTTATTATCACAAAAAAATTAAATAATAGAAGTTGAGTTTTGAGAGTGCAATATTCTTCTCTTAAATTTATATTCTAAATTTTATTTTCTTTATTTCGTTTGAGACTCATCAAATATTTTCAACAAATTGGTATCAAATATTACTTTTACAGTACTTATAAAGTTTTTCAGAATAACGTGTAATGCACGTTCAACTTTAACTAATATAGTCCAAAAGTTGTAAAATATATTATAAAAAATATTAAGCACTTCTAATAATGAGTTTATAAGCATAAAGCTAAATAATTTAAATTAAGCGTTCTTAATAATTACAAGAACCTTTCTTCTAGATATCAAAACCAAAAAAAAAAAAAATAAATAAAAATAAATAAATCTTCTAAGAACGAAAATCAGTCCATATTTCATAACAATGTTTAAGATTTACACTTTTAAGTTATGCACGCTTAAACTAATTTTTTTTCCTTCAGAATATAAATGCATTATACTAAAAAATGGGGTAGTATTGGTGGACAATGAAGTTTCCAAAAGCTAATTACTTAGATGATCGGATAAATATTTAAGTGCTTTTCCAATTGGCCATGGCCCATTGCAATTCTTTTTGGATTATCAGAAGAATGAAACCTTCATTTGTCGAAAATTTTCCACAATTTCCATGGTAAAAGATAAGGAAAAATATCAACATTCAATGAAGAAATATAAAATCTAATTATAATTTTGGATTATTAGAAGAATGAAACCTTCATTTTTGGAAAAATTCCACAATTTTCACAATAAAAGATGAGAAAAAAATCCCAACATCCAATGGAATATTTTTTCCAGTTTCTTAGTCAATCAAAGTTTGCTTTATTTTTGGAAAAAAGGAATTTCATAATGGTGTTATGAGCACTGCTCCCTTAAGATAAAACCCCAACTAACACGTTAACCATAAATTATTACGTCAAGTGAGAATAATTTTTTGAACGATTTTAATTCACTATAATTCAATTATTTCAATAATACCTTATTTTTCATTTTTCAATATGTAATAAATTCTAAAAATTCTTATTATGTATGAATTCCTTGTTATTAATTCTTAATTAATTAACACTGACAGTAATCCAAACTCAATGAATCTTGACTTAATGGATCTTGACCTATATAAATCTATAATTAATATAGATAACTTTATTTCTATTCATGTATGAAAAAAATTTAATAGGTGTTTAAATTTATGTATTCGTAATTAATTATTAGGTATCAAATATAGTATAAAAATATTGTTCATTTGTAGTTAGCATCATCACAAAAAATTAAAAAATAGAAGTTAAATTTTGAGAGTACAATTTTATTCTCTTAAAATTCTATCAAAAATTTTATTTTCTTTAGTTTGTTTGAGATTCAGCAAATCATTGCAACAAATTAGTATCAAATATTACTTTTACATAACTTATAAAGTATTCCAGAATAACGTGCAATGCACGTTCAATTTTGACCAGTTACCTAAAATATCACATTTATTAATAATAAATAAAGCATTACATTTAGGTAACGATAATATTATTTGTTACTTGATTACAATTTATTATAAATGTTAATAATAATTAAATTATAAAGTTAAACCATATTAATATAATATAAATTAATATTTGTCATAGTATAAAATGACGGAGAAAAAAAGAAATTTAAAAATCATAAAAATTGCACCAAATGAACCATGCCAAACTACAATTGCACGAAGTCAAGACCGTGTGTCACGGGGTATGGTTTCTTCCATTTGAAGAGAATGGTTTTTAATATTGTCAAATTTCTACTAACATGTAATGAGTAACTTTGCTGCTTCCCATATAAAATTATGCTCTTGTTTCATGAAAATTATAATTAAGAATTTAATTCAAGTCAAAGTCAAGAATAAATTTTTTTCATATATTTTTGGGACACACAACTTTTCAATCACACATTTCATCAGGTTTTATCACAATCTTTTAAAAATCTGATTTTAATCCCCACGGAGCTAAGTGTTTGTTGGAGAGAGTTAGGGCATATCCAATAGCACTTAATTTTATAAACAAAGTTACTCATTACATATGTCGATAGAACTACGATAATAATGAAAAACGTAAAAATATTAATTCATCAAGGTCAAAAAAAACAAGGAGAAAAATTTCCCCGCAAGAATTAGTCGTTGTTGCCAATTTTCTCTTCATAAGTAGGAAGGGACAATACCCCGTAACACACAGTCTTGACTTCATGCAATTGGAGTAAACTCATAAGCAAGTCATTATTTCTTGACTTGGTAAGATCGACGTCAATAGATTATCCGTATTTGATATGTAGCAAAATGTTGAGTAAGAGAAGTTAATTTTTCATTTTATTTTTTTAATGTAACTCTCATGTGAAAATAAGTAGCTAATTTTGTTTCCAATTTTTAACAAAAAATAATCATTTAAAGCTAATGTTCTCGCCGAACTCTCATGACACCTCGAACCTTAAACCACTCATGTCGCAACACCATCTACTTATTTTTCTCTCTTTTGCCCACTCAGCATTCTAATTGTTTATGATTTAAATGAACGATCTTATCACACGTACTGACGTACATATATATATATATAATATTGTCCCACTTAAATTTATCTTGATTCGTCATATTTGTAATCAATGGCCATGTCTATAAAGTCGTCCATATCATATACCACTATATATATCGCATGCAAACTCCTTAATCCCATACCATTCACATAGGCACACACAATGGCAAATCTTGTATTAATTTCTTTGCTTATGGTTATGGAACGTTATCAAAATATGAGAACTCGTAGAGAACAATTGTAATAAGATATCAAATATTTAAATTTTTTCATCACCTTTTTGCTAAGTTCGACAGTGCCCCACTAAATCAAAATTTCTGCGTCCGCCACTGTCCTCTACACCGGCCCAACTTACACTGAATGATTTTAGTGCGGGCGGGGATGGTGGAGGCCCGTCAGAATGCGACGGTAATTACCATAATAACACCGAAAACATAGTCGCACTCTCCACCGGATGGTATTCCGGTGGATCGAGGTGCGGGAAGAATATACGTATCACCGCTAACAATGGACGAAGCACAACGGCGAAGGTGGTGGATGAGTGTGACTCCATGAATGGTTGTGATAAAGAACATGCATATCAACCACCGTGTAAAAATAACATAGTTGATGGATCTGACGCAGTGTGGAAAGCTTTAGGGTTGAACGAAGACTTGGGTATTGTTGATGTTACATGGTCCACGGCCTGAATGTTGGGTCTGCTTACTAATCTGGTCTATGTACAATTTCTTTTGACTTTTGCCATATGTACCTCTGCAGAATAGTCGAATGAGCAGATCCCATATGAGTAAAATATTATCAAAATAATACCAACCCATCGCTTATTGTGTGTTATCCTTGTACGTGTAGTCTCTCTCATTTCTTTTCTTTTGAATTTATCGTTATATAAAAAGTGTTGTCGATTGATATATAAAAAGTCGTAATGATATGTAAATAAATGAATTGTATGTTTAACGAACAACACGTCAACTTCATTTTTATAAGTTTAGTGACCAAAATTTGACCACATTAAAGTTTATTGAGTAATCAAAGATGTTTTAAAAATTTAGTGAGCAAATCGAAGACATGACAATTTGTAAACGATATGAAGGGATGCCATATGTGCATTCCGTTAGTCATGTCACTGATTCCTTTAAAAGTTTGAAAGGAATTTTATGCTAGTGAGTAATCGCCAACGTTTTTACGAATTTAGTGGCAAAAACTTGATATCTTAAATTTTAGCGAGCAATCGAATATGCAGATATATTTTCAATGACCACTGGGACAATTAACTCTATGATAATATCTTGCAATGGCCAGAGGGGATATGAGAAGTGAGCATTTCTATGTCACATATATCTTCGTTGACAAACTCCTGAACCTCAATATAAGAGTGGGAAAAGTTTGGTAATTTTAGGTAGATAGGACAATCGCCAACCCAATTATCAAACCAGAATGAAATTTTCCCAACATCCAACTTCCTCGCGACAAATGGTTCTGCTTCTTTCCCAGCTAAAAGCATTCTTTTCCAATTAAAAGAGTCATGTTGGGCGTTTGTCTTAAACTACTTAACCCAAGCCCAAGGAGAATTTTGACTCGTAATTAACTTCCACCACAACTTCACCTCGTTTGTTTTTTATTATTTGTCTATTAAAATGAAAAATATGACATTTATCCATTACACAAGTCACAATATTTGACTTTATATCTCTTGTGTGAGACTCGTAATCGCTATATTTTTCATTCTCATTTTTACATTAATGTGCACCAAACGGGGTCGAAGAAGTCAATATATTACTTAAGTTACCAAGGTGTATTTGATTGTAAATATTTTCATCAAAATTTCTACTTTTTCTTCAAAATTTCTACTTTTGTGATATTTGACTAACCTTTTTTCATAGAAAACATTTCACTACTTTTGGTCACATGAACATATTTTCCTCAAAATCTAGGAAAATATTTTCTTTAAGGGGAGTATGGTTTTATTTTTTAAGATCTACCCACTAATAGAAGCCGTACAATTATAATATTTTATTGGTTTAAAATTAAATCAATCAACCATATTTAATTGACAAATTTCATTCAAATAAATATGAACAATTAAGAGGGTGTTTGGTAGGAATTTTTATGTGAAAATGTATTTTTGAATAGTAAATTGATGGGAAATGTGTGGTTGAAAAATAAGAAAAAGTTTTTGATTTACGCGTAATATTATTTTAATAAAGAATGTGTGGTTGAAAAGAAGAGAGAGAAAAATGCATTTTGATAAAAATGGGTGCCAAACAAGGCTTAAATCACCTAAAATTTATTTCTTTTTTCATGCAAATTTTATGCTTGTAATTAGATGCCCCCTAAGTGATTTGAATCCCAGCCCACCCTCTTTTGGAAACATACTTTATCCCAACTTCTTTCGTGCTATCATATAAAAGAATTGTCAAACTCTAACTCAAACTGTAATAGATTAGAGTCACTCTTTATTTCATTACAAATATCACAATTTCACAACATAGAAGTTTTGCACATTAAGCCATGTTTGGTGAGGATTAAAGTAAGATTTTTAGTAAATTTTGATAAAAATTAAAGAAATGTATAATTAAAAAGTTGTGAGTTCCATGAGAGATATGGTTAAAATTAATTATTTATTTTGATTTAAATTAAAATTAATTCCCTACCAAATGGGGGTTAAATTAGAAAGTCAAAAATTATTATTATTTATATATTAACGCTTAAATTTAATTATATTTAAAATTATTAAAATATTAAAGATAAAAGTTTTATTTATTTTTCTGTTGAAAATAAAGCCTTTTAAATTGATTTTCGCAAAAACAACTTGAGACAGTATTTTTCTGATCAATAAATACATTTTCCCCCCCAAAACCTGAGTCCAAAACAACGGCTCATGGCCACATCTCACATACATGCTGCCGTCGCACACGTGTAACCAAACACTCTTCTATACAAGTTACCAAACACCCCAGAAATGGAAAACCCTAGATTTTCCCTCCACATTTTTATTTCCACTCCTGTTACCACAAAGAATTGAAGTTGAAGAAATCAAACATCACTGTCATGGCTGCTCTTTTTAATCACATTTCCAAACCCCAAAAATATAAAATCATTTTATCTAGAATCAGTAGATCCCGGAACACCATCTCCACCACCGTCAACCCAGAACCAGTTAGACGTCCATGCCAAGGTACCCACACCCGAGCACCTGTGTGTATGTATCCATACAGGTTAAAAATGTTTTCTTTAGATACTTTTAAATTTTCTATATCTAGGTTTTTAAGTATTTCAAATTTTAATTTCCTTGCATGTTTCATGTTTTCAGTTAATTTTTAGTGTTGTAACCGAATATATTTAACTGCTATAATTTACAGTGATTGAGCTTAAATTTTTTATTATTATTATTATTATTTTTTTTTTTTCATTTGTTGTAGTTTTGATTAGCAATCGTTGGTGGTCTTTGGTCCTTAGAGTATGCTCATTTTGTGCATATTATCTGGGAGAAATTGTTGGAAATTAAACTTGATCCATGAATGATGAAAAATTAAATTTGATACATGAATGAATTAGTTTATTTATTATTCATGTATTTATTTAAATCATATATCCAAATGGTTCTTTTTATCCTATTATTCATAGTACGTAGGAAAAGTCATTAATTAGTTTATTAAGTTCATATAATTTATTCGGAATCCTTTGTACCTATAAAAGACCTTGTGCTTGAGACATTTTAGAGAGCTAAGCCATAGAATACAAATATTCTTTTGAGAATTTTTTGAATTTTTCTCTCTAGTCTTTCTTCTCATAATTTTTTTATTTTCAACAAAATGGTATCAGAGTCATTTCAAAGATGAATAGTTCGTTTCCTTTTGTTGTTCCCAAACTAACATAGAAAAATTATGGACATTGGCATGAAGGCGTTGCTCGACTCACAAAAGACATGGGTAGTTGTAGAGAAAGGCTATGATAAACCAGCAAATGAAGGAGCTTTAAGTCAAGCTCAAAGGAATGCCTTGCAAAGGGTGCGCAAATTAGATCAGCACGCTCTCTCTACCATTCACATGGGCTTAAATGAAGCCATGTTCGAAAAAGTTGCTTCCTCAACAAAAGCTAAGGATGCTTGGGAGATTCTCGAGATCAATTTCAAGGGAATTGAAAAAGTGAAGAAGGTTTGCTTTCAAATCCTTCGTGGGGAGTTCGAATCTTTGCACGTGAAAGAATCTGAATCTGTCTTTGACTATTTCACTAGAGTGTGTTCCATCGTCAATCATATGAAGTGGTACGGGGAAAATATTGAAGAAAGTCGTATCATTGAGAAAATTCTTAGATTGCTTGACTTAAAACTTGAGTTTGTTAGTATTGCCATTGAAGAGTCTAATAACTTGGATACCATGATTCTTGATCAACTCATGGGGTCTTTGCAAGCATATGAAGAAAGATTGAAGAAGAAAGGAAAACTGGTGGCTCAAGTTCTCTAGATGAATGTCTCCTTGGGAGGTCAACAGAAAGAGCAAGGACGACCTCAAAGAAGAGGTCAAATTCAGGGTCGACGTCGTGGTTGCGGAGGAAATTATGGTCGTAGTAATGAAATAAATAATGGAAAACAAAATTTGAATAATGAAGGATCAAACAATCAATCGAGAGGACGAGAGCGTTGGAACTATGGCTCCAAGAGAGATGGCGGAAGAAGATATGACAAGTCCAATATTCAATGTTACACTTGTCATAAATATGGTAACTATGCTTCCGAATGTAGGAGTGACACCAACAATAATGAGGGAAGTTAATTATGTTGAAGCATAGGAAGATGAATAATTGTTGTTATTGTTGGCAACCAAAGAAAAAAAGGATAAACAATCGTGGTACCTTGACACCGATGCTGCTAAGACATGAGTGGTAACAAGGAGTTATTCTCTACAATAAATGAGTCTGTAAAATGCAACATTATTTTTATAGATGAAACCAAAGTTCCAATAAAAGGCAAAGGTGATGTTTTTATTCGTGCTAAAAATGGAAGTCATCTTTTGATTTCTCAAGTTTATTATGTACCTACTTTGAAGTCTAATATTTTGAGTTTGGGACAATTACTTGAGATTGACTATGACATTCACTTGAAGAATCATTGCCTTACTTTGAGAGATGTTTCTCATAAACTGATTGCAAAGGTGCCAGTGGAGAAGAATATAATGTTTTTGTTGAATGTTAATGTTGACCATCCAAGGTGTCTAAAGGCTTATGTTGAAGATAATTCTTGGCTTTGGCACTTAAGATTTGGCCATTTGAATTTTGATGGAATGAAGACCTTGACGAATGAAGAAATAGTGAATGGATTGTCAAAAATTAACCATCCCAATCAACTTTGTGAAGGATGCCTCGTTGGCAAGCAAGCTAGAAGAAGCTTTCCAAATGAATCTACCTCAAGAGCAATGAAACCACTCGAACTTGTTCATGCAGATGTGTGCGGTACAATCAAACCATCCTCTCATGGTAAACCAAATTATTTTCTTGCTATTTATTGATGATTTTTCTTGCAAGATCTGAGTTCATTTTTTGAAGAAGAAAGATGAAGTTTTTGGAGCATTCAAAAAATTCAAAGCTTTTGTTGAAAATGAGAGTGACAACTTAATCAAAGCATTAAAGATCGATCGAGGTGGAGAATTCACTTTCAAGGAGTTTAACATTTTTTATGATAACAATGGAATCTAACATTTCCTTATAGTTCCAAGATTACAGCAAAAAAATGGTGTTGTGGAGCGGAAGAATAGAACCATCCTTTACATGGTTCGTAGTATGCTTAAGAGCAAGAGTATGGAAAAGGAGTTTTAGGCTGAGGCTGTTGCATGTGTCGTGTATTTGTCTAATCTTTTCCCGTCAAGGAGTGTTTAAGACATGACTCCACAAGAAGCTTGGAGTGGTAAGAAACCTAGTGTTTCTCGTTTACGTGTTTTTGGTAGTATTGCCTATATTCATGTGCCAGATGAGAAGCGATTAAAACTTGATGAGAAATGTGAGAAATTTGTTTTCATCGGTTATGATTCAAACTTTAAAGTCTACAAGTTTTATAATCCTTGCAATGGGAAGATTATTATTAGTAGAGATGCGGAATTCGACGAAGGAAGCTCGTGGGATTGGAATGTTCCGAAAAATGAAGAATACGTGATTTTTTCTTTCCAAAAAGGAGACTCTAGCCAAAAAGCAAGTGAAGATGCCACTTCACCGCATTCTCTTGCTCCTCAATCTCCTCATGATAGTCCCTCTGAAGGACCGAGTCGTATTAGAAATCTTGCAGAGATTTATAAAGAAACTGAAATTGTTGATAACCCTTCTTTGTTTTGTCTCTTCGCTGACACCGAGCCAATGAACTTTGAAGAGGCAACGAAGGATAAGAAATGGAGGCATGCAATGGATGAGGATATCTAAGCAATAAAAAAGAACAATACATGGGACTAGCTTCTCTTCCTAAAGGGCAAAAAACAATTGGTATTAAATGGGTGTACAAAGTAAAGAAAAATGCTCGAGGAGAAGTGGAGAAATACAAGGCAAGACTTGTTGCCAAAAGCTATAGTCAAAAGCATGGTATTGAGTATGATGAGGTCTTTGCCCTCGTTGCTCGCTTGGAAACCATTAGATTAATCATTTCCTTGGCAGCTCAAAATAAGTGGAAAATTTATCAAATGGATGTCAAGTCCGCTTTCTTGAATGGATACCTTGAAGAAGTGTACGTTCAACAACTAGGAGATTATGTTGTTAAAGAACATGAAGAAAAATTTTTGAAATTGAAGAAGACACTATATGGCTTGAAGCAAGCGCCTAGAGCATAGTATATGACAAGTATTTTCAAGATCATAGATTCATTAAATGTCCATATGAGTATGCTCTTTACGTTAAAAAATGATACATTTGGAGGTTTTATGATCATGTGCTTGTACGTTGATGACTTGATCTTCACCGACAACAATAAAAACATGTTTGATGAATTTAAGAAAATGATAGCTCAAGAATTTGAGATGACTGACATTGGGTTTATGTCATACTACCTCGGAATTGAGGTAAAATAAAATGGAGATGACATTTTTATTTTTCAAGAAGCTTATGTAAAGAAAGTTCTTGAAAGATTCAAAATGTAAAATTGCAATCCGGTGAGTACTCCCATTGGGTGTGGAACAAAGCTGTCAAAAAATGACGAGAGCACGAAAGTGGATCCATCTCTCCATAGACAGCTTGTTGGAAGCTTGAGATATTTGACTTGTACAAGACTCGATACTCTTTATAGTATTGGTCTTGTTAGCCGATATATGGAGGCACCAATTTTAACTCACTTGGAGATTGCTAAAAGGATACTTTGCTACATTTAAGGTGCCCTTGATTATGGCTTAGCTTATTCTTCTTCTACAAATTTCAAGCTTCATGGTTATGGTGATAGTGATTGGGCCAGTGATATTAATGATCGAAAAAGCGCTACTGGATTTTTGTTTTTCATGGGTAACACCGCTTTCACTTTCTGTTCAAAGAAGTAGCCCATTGTGACTCTTTCTATTTGTAAAGCTGAATATATTTTCGCTGCATCGTATGTTTGTCATGCCATTTGGCTATGGAAATTATTGAAGTCATATACCCCAAAATGAAGCTACACCAATTTATGTTGATAACAAATAAGCTATTGCTTTGGGTAAAAATCCTATGTTCCATGATCGAAGCAAGCATATAGATACAAGATTTCACTTCATTAGAAAGTGCATTGAGAACAAAGAATTTGAGCTTGCTTATGTGAAGACCAATGATCATGTAGTGGACATTTTCACCAAACCATTGAAAAATGATGATTTTGCAAGATTGCACACTTGGATTGGGGTTATCAAGAGGGAATCAAGTTTAAGAAGGGGCGTTGGAAATTAAACTTGATTCATGAATGATGAAAAATTAAATTTGATACATGAATTAGTTTATTTATTATTCATGTATATATTTAAATCATGTATCCAAATGGTTCTTTGTATCCTATTATTCATAGTATGAAGGAAAAATCATTAATTAGTCTCTTAAGTTCATACAATATCTTTGAAATCCTTTGTACCTATAAAAGGCCTCGTGCTTTAGACATTTTAGAAAGCCAAGCCATAGAATACAAATATTGTTTCGAGAATTCTCTGAATTTTTCTTTCTAGCATTTCTTCCCATAATTTTTTTATTTCCAATAGAACTCTGGGCAAAACAATATTGAAGGTGCATAGTTATTTTTCGACTTTGGAAACACAATGATCAAAACAGAATCTAAAGAATTAAAAGTTTAAAACCGAATGGTTTCATGATTTATATTTCCACAAAACGGAAAAAAAGGATTCACGACATTTGACTGACTGGGGTTGCTTTTGAGGGTAATCCATTTTTGCCAGTAATGGAGATAGGCTCATCATTATTTAAAAGAAAGGCGCGCTTCATGTGAGGCCTTCATTAAGCTTATGCTTTGGATGCCATTTGCTGAGGCTTATGCCTCTGAATTTCCAACTCATTGTGGCACATGACTCAAGGCATTAGGTAAGGTGTGTGCTCGCTTGTGTTGCTGTTATGAGCTTTTTATAATTAGCCTCAGCCTTCTGGATTAGCACCTTCATAGCCTAGAAGGTTTTATGGATTAATTTGGGCTGTGTTAAATGCATCCTACCCCCAAAAGTTTGAAAAACAGAAATGAAAACGGAAAAAAGGATAACTGAAGAAGGAGGGCCAGCCTCAACCTGAAATGCAAAACCTCCTCTTCCAAGTGAAGTTATAACCTTTTCGTTTTTGTAAATTGCCTGTGATAGGAGGCCTGCAATACTATTTTCGTTTTTGTATATACTTTTCTTGTTTTCTTGCTTTAGTCTCAGCATTTTTTTTTTTTTTGTGTTGCGGACTTTTATTCTTTAAAGTTAAATCAAGGAAGTTTCTTGAGTGGTTGTTAAGTTATTTCATATGTTTTTGACTTCTAGATCCAGCTGTGGATGGATGGTCTTGCTACGCGATCGCTACTTTGTTAATTTATTCTTTGCTACTTTTTATTATCCTTTTTATAACTTTAGTTGCAAATTAGACTTTTAATTTTGATGAAATGTTTATCATGAATATTTAAGATAAGCTTTTGTACTTTGAATTTTATTGGTTTATGCTGAAGCTTATGCCTTGCATCATGGAGACAAAACCATCCAATACCTTACTTAGTTCTTTTTAAAAATATCATGCACATAGACAATTTCACCTACAGGTAGGAAAATTTCGGCCTGCAGAAGAATTAGCCCCTGTTTGGCCCCCATTACGTGAAAAAATTAATGTGTGGAATAGTGTTTTTTTGAAAAATGAGTGGTTGAAAAAGAATGAAAAATTTAAATTTTAGATTTACGTGTAATATTATTTTATGGAATATTGTGTGGTTGAAAATAGAAGAGAGAAAAATGAAATGTAATGTAATGAAAATTAATGGGGCTCAAACGGGGGCTTAAATAGTTCAGATATAAATAGGAAACAGTCAATTATGCAAGGGTACTGATTCATTTGTGAATCACATATTTAAGTTGATGCTATAATTCAGAGTCCTTTGCGCTTTTTCCTTAGGCTGTATTTGGCAGCTGTGAATTGGGGTCTCGAAAATGGAAATAAAATTCCTTTCAAATTCGACTCAAGTTTTTTTACACCCTAAGGCCCCCATATTATACTATCAAATATCGCATGAGTTTTGGATGTTAGCTATGCATTGGCATTGATATTCGAATGGAGAACTTATTTGGCTAATCTAACTGTTCTATCTTATGGATTTGGAGCAAGGAGCAATTTACACACAACTCAGTTCCTCCTCATTATTGAACACGTTATCTTATTTAACAATAGGAAGCATTTGATCGTTTGAATTTTTCTACCATAAGTAGTTTTGTATATCACACATTCATATATATTTTTTTTCTAGTGAGAAATGTTGTCACGACTGTTGAAGCTGTCGCTGGATTTGAGGAGATGGTTTCTGATACGCGACGGAAATATTACATGTTAGGTGGGAAAGGAGGTGTTGGAAAAACAAGTTGCGCTGCATCTCTTGCTGTAAAATTTGCGACCCATGGTCACCCCTGTATTGTGATTTCTACTGGCCCAGCTCACTCATTGAGCGATTCATTTGATCAGGTAAGAATAATGTATCTGTTGAATATGTTTGAATTGATAAACTCAATGGTAGAGTTCAATTGAGTAAGAAAATGCAATTTTAAATTATATGCTACCCCATAGGATTTGACTGGAGGGATGCTTGTTCCTGTTCAAGGTGTGGAATCTCCATTATTTGCACTCGAGGTACACTGTTTCTGAATTGTGGTAATGCTCCTATCTACATACATATTTGGTGCATGAGGTAACATGATGAAACTATATAGGTGAACCCTGAGAAAGCAAGGGATGAATTGCGTTCTTCAAGTCAAAAACATGGTGGTAGTGGTGGTATGAAAAATATAATGGACAGCATGGGTCTTGGAATGCAGGCAGACCAGGTGCGGACATGTCTTTTTTCAACTTCGACCAACAAAAAACTTGTGTACCCTCAACTACTTTTAAGATTTTTAAGCTTAGCCCATCCTCACTCTTTTTCACTTTCTAACTTTACTCTGCACTTGAGTTAGCTATTTGATCTCGAAATTTTTCTTTTCGGTTTCAGTTTGCACGCACTAGATATATTTATCGGCTATTGTGATTTACGATTTCTCGACAATATTAATTTTTTATTCTTTTTGTTTTGTGCTTGATAGTCCCTGCAAGAAAGCCCATGTTTGGTCCCCATTAAACTAAAATTCGTTTTTCTCTCTCTTCATATTAACCACATATTTTTCAATAAAATAATATTACAAGTAAACCTAAAAACTTTTCTTTCCTTTAACCACACATTCTTCAAAAAATTACTATTCCTTCCATTATAATTAGAAATAATGGAGCCCAAACGGGGGGTAAATAAGTGTGAAATTTGTGAATGTAGTCGATTGTTGGTCATAGCACAACTATCAAACTGTTAGTTAAAACTCTTTGACACGTGCATCAAAGTTGTTTCACTATTGCTTTCTGAACAGTTGGGAGACTTGGAGCTTGAAGAACTCTTGGACACTTCTCCACCTGATCTAGATGAAGCAATTGCAATTTCAAAGGCACAATTTTTTGGTTATTCTCTATATTAGTAATTTCATGATTTGATATTCTACAATATTTAACCATACAGTGATCTTGCAGGTCATGGAATTCGTGGAGTCACAAGAGTTCAATAAATTTAGTCGGATTGTTTTTGATACTGCTCCTACGGTAAATAATCACACTCATCCAGATTGTTTCACTGGTGGTTTCAAATGCGTTAGATATTGTCTTTTACAGGGACACACGCTACGACTTTTGTCATTGCCAGACTTCTTAGATGCATCAATAGGCAAGATGATGAAGGTACTTTTGCAGTTGCATACTCAAAGAGTACCCAGGCCTAAATGCTATTTGATATATTTTCTCAATATTTGTGAGCGTGATACTATGTTTACTGATTTATTATTTTCGAACTACCACAAAAATTCATTCCAAAAGTTTCCTGCAATTTGCTGGCATGATTTTCTTTAAATCTGGATTTTCTGTACTACACCTTCTGTGCCACATTTGTTTGTAACACCGTCTTTTGATATGAAGTTTAAAAATGGTATCCTTCTCTGACACTTGCTAACCACTTACTTTTCTGAATGAGATCTGATGAGTGGACGTCATTTCTTTTCAATTTTTATGATTCAATTCTTAATGAAAACAAGCTTTTTGATTTTTGGCTTGCGATGGAAAGTGTATCGTGTAAATTACGATAGAGAGAGCTCGTTACCAGTATTATACTATCTCCTATTTCCTACGTTTTTTTTGCATATTTGCTTATCAATTGCTCTTTAATGTATGGTTCATCTCAGCTCGAGAAGAAGATAGCTTCAGCAACTTCGGCCATTAAATCTGCTTTTGGAGCAGGAGAATCAGAGGAAAATAGCGTAAGCATGAAACATTGATAGTTGAGCATGTTTGGCTTACTTTTAAGCAACTCTTTGTATCCAAACATGTTTGGTTGAGTTACTTTTTTCTGAAAGCAACTCTTACCTTAAAGTAACTTACTTATTTCTAAATTGTACCAATGAAATGATTCAGTTTAAAACTTGTAAGTAAACTTTTAACCCTTAGCCAAACATGCTCTAATACTTGGTTTTCACAAAATACCAACAATACTCATTTATTTCCCCTTTACTATTTGTAGAGCAACAAGCTAGAGCAACTAAGGGAAAGAATGGCAAAAGTGCGAGATCTTTTTCATGACTCAGAGACCACAGAGTTTGTGATAGTAACAATACCAACTGTAATTGCCCACCTGCTTTTTTACACAAATTTTTCAACTTTTTTCTGATGCCCGAAGGCTTTACTTAGCACCATCTTACAATTTCATAGCAAAATTTAGTTTTCGTTTATTTGTCTATGGATTCTATAGATTCTTTTTTGTTAGATAAGTTTGGTGGTTATGATTTGATATCACTAAAACATAAAATTTTTCTATAGTCAATATTTTCCTTAACTGGTTCCTCTGTGCTTGGGTTGCCTAATTTTATGTCAATAACTTATTCTCCCCTTCCCTGTTGGGTGTTTCATCCATTTTTGAGTGAAAAACAAGTCGAGAAATAATCAAAAGCTCAAGGACAGAAATTTCTTTGTCATAGATTCGTAGTACTCCATGTAGATGGAACCATATCATGAAGGTATTTTGAAGGTTATTGATTCATCTTCTCATTTTGTCAGTTCAGTGTGCGGTGGGCTCTAACAGAATCCGAAATGGAAGTTGAAATATGTAATTGATTCTTCTGTTTTTCAGCTTCACTAACCCTTTTTGGTATGATATTATTACAAGGTTATGGCACTTCGTGAATCGTCGAGGCTTTGTGCATCCTTGAGGAAGGAAAATGTTCCAGTACGAAAACTCATTGTTAATCAAGTGCTACCAGAGTCTGCATCAAACTGCAAATTTTGTTCAATGAAACGGAAGGTAACATGTGAATTAATCATTATTTTTTTTCTTAGAAATGCTGCCTCAGGAAATTCATAATCATACTTGCAATAGTAAAATTTATGCTTTAAATATGGATTGGACTGGTTAATATATTGAAATCAAATCATCAGTTTAAAGAATTTGTTGTACGAGTTCACTCTATGAATGTCCATTTTCTTGTAACATGGATTACCCAAAATTTCTTCCAGGAATTTATATTCTAATTTATTTACTGTGACCAATCGGTTAACAGCCGACTGCTCTACCACTGAGCTACTGAGGAACAATGGGGCCCTTCCACTTTGAGGTAGTTTTAGTTTGTATTGGTACCAAATGAACATATCAAACAAAGGTACAGAATGTATCGTCAAATATTCAATATGATTCCACAAGATCTAGTTTCGTTCAAGTAACGGATTCTAGCCAACTGAAAGGATCTTGTGGGCTTCATTTTTTCTACTGGATGAAAAAATATACATAAGGGCAAAAGGATGGTCCACGGCCTTACCTTAGTTCCTTATTTTAGCTTGAGAGATGGGAATTAAAGGAAAAGCTGGAACTTCATTCGCTGGTTCACGACTCTCTGATGAAGGCTTTTAGGCCTAACCACTGCTATTTCTGGCCATAAGAATGTAGAACTGATTATTTGTCTCAAATTGGAAGACACCTAATTCCTGATTGGAATAGTTTAAAAGATAACACCACAATTTTGGTAATGTCAAGCTCCATTTCGATGGGCTAGATGCCGATTTGATTGGCTTTTGCCTTAGTTTATGAATGCTGAACTAAGAATAATTTGGTTTTGTATTGGTCCAATAAGATTCAAATTATGTCCAGCTACATTTATAGTTGGCCACGTCTTGGAGAGAAAAAGATGCATTTTCTTGAGTCACTGCTCACACAGAGCCTTCCAATCCTCAAATGTTTATCGGTTTTCAATGGCAAAGTTTTTTATCCTCCCTCCTTATCTTTCGTCGATATAATCATAAAGAGAGAGAGGTATTCTGGAAGGAGTTCTTGTTGTAAGTTCTAACTACTGTTTTCGGAAATTCTCCTAAATCAATGAATTGTCTAGAGACTTGCTGTTCCTGATGCACTAGTTCAAAAGATATTTCTGAATGGAACCTTCAAGTTAATATTTGCTATTCAAGATCTTAATGGTGAGTTTGTAGATTTATTGGCACGAGGAATGGACTAAATTAATTAGGTATCCTTCAAACCTCCTGAGAAAATTATATAAAATCAAAATGTAAAAATAAGCCACATTATTTAATTGTCTTAAAATGCTATGTCATACGAGGTTCCAGTAAGCGGCAAATGTTTCTATGGTTTTATGTTTGGGGAAGTTAATTGGAGCGATTGAAATGAAAAGGTTAACATTCTTCAATGCGTTGCAGCATCTAATTTTTTCTCTTTTTGGGTAAGATGGAAAAATCTGTGGATTAGCTTAAACGTTCGCCTGTTTTTCAGTCATGGAGTTTCTCTTTGTACAAGGAAATCAACTAGGAAGGGATATTGCTACAATAACTGGTCAATAACAATGAAATAGATTGGTTTATCACATTGACCACATAACGTAGAGTCTCCATGAGATGCTTAGTTTATGGTAAGACGAATCAGTAAATCATGCTTTCTTTAGAAACTTAAGTGGAACCCTGAGATACCCTTTGACTCATTACTGTGCCTGCCATATACAGTTTGTGAGACACTAATTTATAACGCATGTCCTTGTTGCTGGACATGATAATGCTCTGAACATGCACGTATAATTAATATTGTACATTCTCGTCATCAAATGTAATTGAATTTTTGGTTATTAGTCTTTATTTATTCATTCGGTTCCATGTTTCCAAAGGCAAGATTTTATATTATGCTTCAGAAAAATCTGATATTCAAATTTGAGCATAAACAGAATATATATATATATATATATATATGAAAAGTTGATTTTGTTCTCTACTCCAATATCCTAAAGCTTCTCATTTGACCTTCCTATGTTGCAGGATCAGATGCGTGCTCTAGACATGATCAAGAGAGATTCAGAATTAGCCACGTTGACAGAAGTCCAGTCACCTCTGTTTGATATAGAGATAAGGGGTGTTCCAGCGCTCAAGTTCATGGGGGATATACTTTGGAGATGAAGCTTACATAACTGATAAAGTAGGTTATGGCATGTCTCCCTCTGAACTGCACCAGGGTGGTAGACATTTTGCAGCCACCAAAAATATCTTTGTTATGTTTTGAAAGACAGATGATACATTACTCTGGAAGAGAAATTTGACTTGAAAATATCAGCTCATAACTTATAACCTTCAGGCTTAAGTTTCCAACTTGTGCATGAGCTTGTAGAACCTAAAGCTGCTGATGTAGAAGATTTTTGAGTAGCTGAATGTCAAACATGTGGAAAGAAGATCACTACTATAAAATTTGTCCCAGAGGTTCAATCACTCTCTGAGGCTGACAATTCTTCCAAGCTTCCACCGTTTATGTACCAAATGATATTTTTGCTATGCACTACGAAAGAGGATTGGACAGTGTAATTTATAAATTTTAATATTTTTTACTTATCTGTCTTTGTTTGATCCCTATTTTTTTAGAATTCATTTTTTAACCTTGTTTTCAACTACATATTTACCCAATAAGATATTATGCACGTAAATTCAATTTTTTTTTTACTTTTTAATTACACATTTTTCAAAAAATCATTATTCCAAAATTTACTAACACCAAATAATGGGGCTCAATAATGCACATGATCAATAAGTTCAATAATTTGGAAGCTTTGAAGACGTATGTGTTAAATTACTTTGTGTAGAAACTTCAAGTGTTGTCGAAGGAATCAATTTATTTGTGGAGAATTTACAAAAATGTCACTTTTTTTTAAAATGTACAAAAAATTTTGATGTGCACACAATTTGTACAAAAATGTCACTTTCTTGTTATGAAATGTTTAAATTACCTTTAATTTGACCTTTTTGGAGCATTTAATGCTCCTTCATGATTGTTTTTCAAAACAATTAATGTTGTGATTTGATTGTTTAATTTGTATATTATACTCATTGAATATATGAATATTATATTGTAAAATTCGAATTTAGTTAATAAAAAATGAATATAAAATCCTTAAAAATCCTAGTTAACATAAAAAAACAAATTTTTTATTAAACAAATTCTTATTTCATTCATCTTCTTCATCCATTTTCTTCTTGATCAAGAAGACATTACTTTATCCATCTTCTTCATCTATTTATTATGAATTGTTTATATTTTTATGTAATAGCTTACTCTTTTTAAATGTTAAAAACAACATGATAATCACTACTATTAATCATCATGTTCCTTTTTTTTTTTAATATTTTTGAAGGAAAAACATACCAAAAGTATTTAGGGAAATGTGAAGTATTCCATATTTAATAAAGCAGTCGGTCATTTATTTCTGGAAATAGGTTGTGATGTTGTAGTTGAGAAATGATTATAACAATTAATGCTACCAAACACATTTGAAACTTCTCAACAGTTGAGAAATGATTATAACCATTAATGCTACCGAACACATTTGTAGTTGAGAAGTGATTATAATTCATATGCATATTACGGACACAAAAAATTTGCCAATAAACCCCGATGTTATTTCTAAACGCATGTGCAATGTCCTCAGTGCCCACAGTTATGTGTCGAGACACTGTCATTGAAGTTTGTGTCGACAGATAACTGCACTCGTCTGGCAGGACAGTGCCATCTGTATCTGTCGAAAATGCCTGTAATTAACTCTTGGGAACGACAGTTCATCTATCGAGATTCACCCACCTGTTGAGAAATACTGCAGCCATCTGTCGAGATTCGTTCTCTCTTTCTTTCCTTTTCACAATTGACGGATTTTTTTTTTTCAAGATTTGATATGGCATTTACACAATTATCAAAAAGGGACATGCAAGGTATTCAAGTTCTTTTGAAGGGTAAAAATGAATCAAGTATGACACTTTTGTAAAGAGTTTTAAAAGGTGATTTTTATAAATGACAACTAAAAAAATGACATGGGGTGTAATTTCCTCTTTATTTATTTATAGGGTTCACTATTTCATTTCTTAACATGTGCTTGTATATATATATATATATATATATACCATAATAGACCCAGGGGATAGGAGATGAAATAGAAGAACAGAAATTTATGAAAATAGATACTTTTATTGATAATTGAAGAAGATTTAAATATTACAAAGATATTTTGAAGGGTATTTGAGAGAACAAATTACAAAGAAAAGTAAAACTTCTTCTTGCTGAATTCGCTCTGTTCTGAAATGAAATCTTGAAATCTTTTTATAATGAATTCCGGACTTGAAATTTCTTTCATTTTGGAGAAAGAATCTTGAAAAAGGAAGTGGACGACATCATAATGGAGCATCTTGAAAAGCAACATCAACTTTAGTCAAAAGTTTCCAATTTTTGACTTCTTTTAATAAAGATAATCTTTTTCTTTATTAAAGTAGATATTGATGTCTGACACAAAGTTGATGGGAATCTTGACAAATGTGGCACCACCGATTTTGAATTGGACAAAGATTGAGGAGAATTTCTCTTGCTTGATAGACCCTTGAATGTCTCAATTCATCAAGAAAACCGGGTCCATATAGTCATTTTGAAGTTTTCTTTGAAACTTTCTTTTGAGCTTTTGCAGCTTTCTCTTGAGCAAGAAATTCCTCATAGTCACCTAGATCAACTAGGTCATCACCATTGTCAGTTTCTTGAGAATATTGAGAATCCTCTTCTTGATCAGAATCATTTGTTTTTGAAGATCCCTGTTTAGAAATTTGATCATAAATTTCTAATA